ACAGTGTGTTGAGCATAATATCCATGAGTATCATGGTGATAAAAGCCAAGAATTAAAATACTGATACCAGGAACCTAGTCATCATTAACTCTTGCATCAATACTTCATGTGGCTGCAAGGACAAGGACAATGTTAAGAATTTTATAATTCCATAAAATTCAAACCTTGAGCACTCAGGAAGATCTCAGGAACACATAATTTTGCCAGTAATTACAATACCAAACAATGTCTGAACTAACTTCCATAGCTTTGGGAACTTATACAGACATATAAAATACAATATTTAAGTACAGGCATATTCTATGTTTCCCATAAGTAAGTGTACACCAATTAATTTTTTTCCTTCTAATACATATGAACACCAAATATTTTTAAATGTGTGAATTCAAGGAAAGAAAATGATTTATCTGCTATAGATAAGTACAAAACAGAAATATTGGCACTTGAACTTTTGTGCCACCTGATATTTTTAAATGGTTATATCACTGAATACAAGGCAACAAAATTCAAATAAGGGAAACTAAAATAGTCTCCAATAGCAATTTTTCATCTTTAAGTTTATTAGAAAAAATTCAATAAAGAAAAGTAGTATCTGAGATGGAATACAGTTGGAGAAACATAACAGAAGCAGGTGTTCTTGCTTCAGTTGACCTTGATTTCAGCTCTAAACAGCTATATCTCCTCCAGATCTACTGACAAGCTGGTAAAACTCATTGAATTTGTGACCAGATTGAAGTATCTAGAGTTGTAAACCTGAAACACAGATGCCTCTTACTCTCTTATGAATTCCACAAGGTTGATCACTGATTCAGGCCATATGATAATTTCATAACCACATGGAATTAGCATGAAAGGATAAAAATTCTATCTTTATATACATCTTTCATCCAGAAAGCCTCATAAATATTGCCTGAATATAAATTAAACTTTGGCATGAAATATAATTTATGAAAATTGCAAACTACTTGGATTGATCTCACCAAAAATATATTAAATCTTGATGACTAACAAACTTCTTCAAAGAAATAAAATGATGTTTAAATAGAATTAAAACAGCAATATAAATTTGAAAAATATTTTAATAGCAAATCATATCATTTATATGAGTTACTAATTAAGCAAGTGCCTTGAAATCATAAAAATTCATTTAATCACTTATGTCTAGCTTCTGCAGGATATGTAAAACATGATAGATGAAAGAAATATGACTCCCATTAAGATGAGAAAAATGTTGTTGCAGTTTTTCCTTTTTAGCTGTGTGCTTTTGGTGATATTTTGCTCAGAGTTAAAAGTTGCACAAAACCTTGGTTCAAGAGCTACTACAGAGGTTAAACTGCTTCCATCACGTGTGGTTGACCCCTGAATGGTCTTCCACACCATATACATTTCCCTGTTAATGGCCAGGGGTGGCTCATGAGGACAGAGGCAGGGGTAAGCCATGCATAATGTCGGGTATTTATTTTTGAGCTCCCAAATAAATAAATGAAGTTGCACAAAATAAAACTGAAAGGAAACAAACGAAAAACAGAATTTGATCTCTTTTGTAAGAGTTAAATATACATAGAGAGGAAAAGAGGGAAAAGAGGAAGAGGTATAGAAAGAAGGCAGAAAGGCAGGATGGAAAGACAGAAGAAAGGAGATTAATTATATCTGGTTTTACAGACAAATTGTTCTTATCACTGTCCTAAGCATCTGAACTTTAGGTTTTATATAAATTTCCTGCTATAATATTATATTTATAAGTCTATTATAAAAACTATTATTATACCTTAAAATTGTATAACTCCCATTAAATGTGCTTTCAGAAAAGCCCTTTCAATTGCTGCTGCATGTATTTCCTACCTAAATGGAACTTTTGATCTTTTTTTCTGTAGCTCTCTTGCCCTCGTTTCTGATTATGTGTCTGTTTATAATACTCATATACATGATATCTAGCTATCTACCTATCTCTCCGTCCTCTCCCTCTTTCTCACTCTATGCCTATCTCTTACATTCACTCATATGACTCAGTTCCACAAATAGTGGTGATACTGTGCAACTCATCTTTCAATACTTACCATCCAGAAAGGTGCCTGATAAGTTTTACTCACTGAATATTTATGGAACATACTGATAAAAGAATGGATGTTTATATTTTGCATCACACTTCACTGCTATTATAGCTAGAACCAAAATATTCTCAAAGCCCCTGATTTTGTATTTACACTGCTGTGAATTAAACTTTTTAATGCAAAGTATTATTAGGGATTGCTCATAACTCATGAGAGCAAAGAATTTAATAATAGCTATATTTTAAGATATGGAAAAATACATACAAAGCAACTCATTCAGTAATGAAATGATGCTCTTTTAAATGCTATTTTATTTTATTTTATGTAGGAGTACTGTTATTTATTCAGCCACTGATTAGCTGATTGAATTGTGCATGAACTCCACCTTACTTTTTTTTCACTTTTTATAATTTTATTTATTGAATCACCGTGAGAGCAGTTACAAAGCTTTCGGGTATAAGTCTCGGTCATACAATGAAACAGACATGCCTTCACCAGTGCCCATTCTCCACCACCAAAAACCCCAGTATACCCCCATCGCACACCCTCCCTCTACCTGTGGGGCAGATGATTTCCACATTACTCTCTCTCTACTTTCATCACATTCAATATTTCGACACCAGATCCACCATTATTTGAGATTTTACCCCAACACTCAGATCTGCTGAAAAGGCAACAGTAGACAATTTGTGTTCTATTGCTAGTTATGAATAACATATGATGTTGCGTGGCTGCAGTAGGGCCATGTGATTTTGAAATTCCAAAATTTTAACACTTAAATCTGGAAGGATTTCTACCAAAAGCCACTGGGTTTTGAGATTTGTTCCTGAGTCTCTGGGATCATAGTCGTTGAGCAGTTTGATCAGAAGCCAGAGAGGCCGTTCGTGGGCAATGAGTTGGGGTCTCATTGGGATGGGGAGACCAGGACCAGCTCCACCCTCATCCTGTGAGGCCCAATAAGTTTCTTCACTGTGGGCTCAGACCTGACTGTCCAATGGCCTCTGGAGGATGACGGCCACCAAGCCACCAAGGGGGAGCAGGCAGAGGGACAACACCCTATTCCCACATGGGTTGGCCCAGCACTGGTAACCTACTGCAGGGACCAGACGCATTTCTGCCAAAAGCCGCTGGGTTTCGAGATTTGTTTCTGAGTCTCTGGGATCATGACCGTTAAGCAGCTTGATCAGGAGCCAGAGAGGCCGTTCATGGGCGATGATTTGGGGTCTTGTTGTGGTGGGGAGGACAGGCCCGGATCCCCCCCACCCCCACCCCCATCCCGTGAGGCCCAACAGGTTTCGTCACTGCAGGCCCAAGCCTGACTGTCCAGTGGCCTCTGGAGGATGACGGCCACTGAGCCACCAAGAGGGAGCAGGGGGACTGACAATACCCTTTCCTCCCTGGGGTGGCCCGGCAACAGAAACATACTGTGGGGTCCGGACGCATTTCTGCCAAAATCTACTAGGTTTTGAGATTTGTTTCTGAGTCTCTGGTATCATGGCCGTTAAGCAGCTTGATCAGGAGACAGAGAGGCTGTTGGTAGGCGATGACTTGGGGTCTCATTGGGGTGGGGAGGACAGGACTGGCTCCACCCCCATCCCATGAGGCCCTGCATGTTTCATCACTGGGGGTCCAAACCTGACTGTCCAGTGGCCACTGAAGGATTTCAGCCACTGGGCTGCCGGGGGGAACAGGCCAATTCACAAAACCTATTACCACCTGGGTTGGCCCAGCACCAGTAACCTACTGCAGGGACCAGACGCATTTCTGCCAAAAGCCACTGGGTTTTGAGATTTGTTTCTGAGTCTCTGAGATCATGGCCATTAAGCAGTTCAATCAGATACCAGAGAGGCCATGCCTTCAATTATATAGCTGAGACGGAGGTGGTTTGTTGGTGCATCTCCCACATACCTAACTTTTGGCTTTTTACTTTCTTGGTAAACTTTGCCCCAAGATTTTGGGGTCTGGCCAAAGACACAGCAGCAATTTTGGGGTATCTGGAAGTCTGAAGGCACCATCAGGCTGCTGATATAATTGCCTCACAGGCACAGATTGACCTGCTGGCGGCACAATACCCCCTAAATGCTCTTTTAAACAAAACTAAAGAATGGATGAATTATTTCTAAGAATTTTCAATTACCAATTTCAGCAATGGAAATCAGTTTGTATAAACAAGTTCTCTTATTCCAACTTTCAGGAAGGAAGTGACCACTAGAATAGCTTTTTTTTTTTTACCTTTTTGGGTCACACCTGGTGATGCACAGTAGTTACTCCTGGCTCCTGGTTCATGTACTCAGGAAATACCCCTGGCGGTGCTCGGGGGGCCATATGGGATGCTGGGAATCGAACCTAGGTCAGCTGCGTGCAAGGCAAATGCCCTACCTGCTGTGCTATTGCTCCAGCCCCAAGAATAGCTTTTTTTTTTGATAAGTATAAGTCAGCCATGTAAGTTATATGAATACAGGAAGAAACACTGAAACTCCTACCCAAGAAAACAAGCAACCAACAATTATTTTCCCATCATATTACTGAAAACTGAAATTCCTTTGAGATATGGCAACATATTTCATGATATTTTTATCAGCAATTATAAAGCATTAGATGTCATTGGAGAAGGTGAAGTATGGTCCATTGACTATGACTAGTAAGACAAATAGCAGGAATAGAAGATGTTTAGATTCTTCTTATAAAGGTAAAAATAAGAGGGATCTAAAAATAACATCTAAAAGGAGAACAGATTCAAAAAGTCCGAGACAAAGACAGAATCTATTCAGAGGTGGTATCATATTTTACTGCCACAGTTATTAAAGCTAGAAAATAAGACTTCTTAAAATTCCATTTACGAGTATAAATTCTTTATGAGATATTTGAATCAATTCCTAGGTCTAAAATATTATAGCGATTTTCCTCGGGTCTCTTCAGATATAAAATGTGCTTGAAGGTGTTTCCTACCTACAAACAATGGGCTATTCAGTTGCAGTTGGAAATATCCTTCTTCTGAAGTCTCTTTGGTCATCTTCGGTAGGCTGTCCACCTGGAGTGAGGCCTCTTTCAGATTCCTCTCAGCTCGAACATAATGCCATTGGTTATCATTGAGAGGAGTAGGAGATTGGACTATGAGCTCTATGGGACCATTCCCAACATCAATGGCAAAAGTGACCTCTGCAGGAGCTGAAACAAAAGTGGAGAATGGAAGGTCTAAGAGATGGTTGAGAGCACATTTAGGGCTGAAGCATGTCCTGAATTAATTACTTAATTGCATACAAATGATTATAAGATAGGTATAGAGATTTTCAGTTGAAATCCCTGCAATATTAAAATTTCCATTATTAATGATATATACAAAACATATTTTTTACAGTTTTTTTCTCATTATAAGAATCCTACAAATAAAATTAGAATAAGTGAGATGCATCTATCTACCTATATATCTATCTGTGACAACTTCTCCATCATGGGTCTACTGTGATACCAAAGTTCAACCAATTTAATGACTCCACAGATATTGTTAGACATTGGATTAGCAAACTAGCCTGTTGTAGTCTTGAATGTAGAAGATCCAAGCATAGTCTAAATAAATTTTCCTCCAAATATATATATATCATATAAATAAACATACTTATATGTGTGTATTCATACATATATACATCACCTTATCCACCACCATAGAGATCATGTTATTAGAACTACATACTGAGTTATATGTAGTGAGTATATTCTGGCATTTATTCATTGGCACATTAGCATGTTTTAAATCTACTTGTGGAGAAGTAAATTTTAATTTGAGTTGGGAAGAAAACAATTTCTGCCCGGTGACTAGAATCTTCACATATGAAAATTTCTTTGTTTTCAGAATCTTGTGATGCATTATTGGTGTTGCTCTTGATCTCCTTCCCAAATGGGACACTGATATTTATCAAAGACATCAACTTCCAGATCTGAGTCATTAGTGGTAAAATAGGCAAATGACCCTTTTGTCTGATCCCTCCTCAGACTAACAGAAAAACAGAATCCTTATAAGAAGCCTACAGATATGGACTTCATGTAACTCTGAGAGCTCGAACTGTCTTGCAGTCCAGTGATCCCATGATGGTAATAAGAAAAAAAGCAGAAAATATGCTAAGAGAGTGTCTAGTCAGGAATCACTGTGATATATGGTAGTGTCATATCATGTTAATCTTTATATTTCCCATTTGCAACATAAAAATAAAAACAGTACCTCTTTCTCAGGTTGTCAATAAGTCAATGCTGATAAATTGCTAGAAATATGCATGTTGCAATAGGAGGCACTCAACAAGTGACAGATATTGGTGTGACTATCACAGTGCGATGATTCACCAACCCAGGTAAAATGCTTTTGGCTCATAAACCCCTTCACTAATAAAAATTCAATTGAAGAGAACAAGTTAGTTTTAATGATTAAACAATTGAATACAAATGATGTTAGACTTTTGAGCTACTTTCTATTTTCTGTTCATTACACTGATGCCGGGCTGGAGCAATAGCACAGCGGTAGGGTGTTTGCCTTATGCGCAACCAACCTGGCTGAGCCAGGTTCGATTTCTCTGCCCTTCTTGGAGAGCCCGGCCAGCTACCAAGAGTATCCCGCCTGCATGGTGGAGCCTGGCAAGCTACACATGACATATTCAAAATGCCAAACATAGTAACAAGAAGTCTCAAAATAGAGATGCCACTGGTCTTGCTCCAGCAAATCGATGAACAACAGAAGGACACCTTATAACCTATATATTGCGATAACATATGCACACAGAAAATATGGCTGTGCCAATATATGTTTCTATCTGAATAACATAGATAAATATTGCTGAGAACTGAAGAGGAAGAATGATACATATTTTGCTAAAAAAAGTTTGCTTTACCACAGTGGCTGCCCGTTGTCTGTGCCATCTCTATTCTATGCTCAGTTTCAATCTTTGGAATTATCATAGTTCAATATTTATCCTTCTAGTGTACAATTTTATGTTTATGGTCTGTATTTCCCACTAGTCTGTAGACTGTAGATGAACATCTTATTTTTCAAATACCATGAACTTACCAACAAGCCCTATATACATTCGTATCTTATTATACTAAAGTTCAATTCACTATATAAATGAAAAATATTATTATTAATTTTTAGTTTTTTAAAGGTTTTATAAAAACATTAGCTTATTCTAAAAATCTTGAAAAATATTTTAAACTTTTTTTATGTTTTTTATTGAGGTCTTAGTATCTTTAACTTATTTGTTTTAGAACTGGGAAAGATTCAGAAAAATGTAAAAATATATGTACTTATTTGCTGTTTATCAAGAACCAGGTATTTTTCATGTTTCATGACTTAACTCAGTTTAGTGTCTCTGTAATATTATTTAACAGACAATATTTTTTCTATAAATGAAAAATACCACAGGTAAAGTCCAGAAAACTTTAGAATTTGAATGCAGAGTCTGTATCACTCTTCTTGAAACAACACTTTCACATTTAAATTCTATATGTTTTTCTTAAAAAGCCAGAATTAGAACATATGTTATAGGGTACCTAGAAACATTGAATAAACAATGTAAGTGAATGAATTATACATCCAATATAGACAAATGGCTATTGGGATAATTGAGACAACCGTAAACTTGCTCTTCACTTTCTAGAGATTAACATAAATTTCATAGTATATATCAGGTAAATAGAGACATTACTTCCATCAAAAATTTACTTTTGTCCTCTCACTTTTCCAAGTTTTCAGCAAAAATTCTTTCTCATCATTTATTCCATAATGTTTCAGATAAAGGTAAAAAGTCACTTTTGCACTTCTGGTTTCTGTATGAGCAGATCCTATGCTATGTACTGAGAATGTACACATGACTGAAAGAGTAACAAACTGATAAACTGATAGTCTACTTTCTAGTGGACTGATAATCCATGTAAGGGCTGTGTGAAGGAGGAAAGTACTCTAAATATAAAATAATATCCACTAATTACTTTTCTTGACAGGAAGAGCTAACCACTGTGATCCCAGAAAATTTTTACAAAGGATCCAAATAATATTACTGTTCACAGCATTTGACCCTGTATTTTGTGAAAGCAAAACTGGCAAAACTGTAGCTTTATTTCTATGTCTTCAAACATGACATCATGAGAGGCATGAAAGAAGTAACAGTGACCATTTTAGGAATAAAGAAGTTACAAAATCTTTGATGTAGTCAATTAACCAGTTTTATATTAAATAAATTGTGTACATCACACACACACACACATACACACACACTAAGTACCTGTGCACTGAACATTTTTGAAGATGGGAAATCTGGATATGATGATAGTTATTGGCTCAAACCTCCATAAATACATCTTTGAGGGAGTGCAGAATTGAATATGTTTGTCAGTTTTCTATATCTCAGAACAAAGAATAAGAACAAATGGTTCTTGAGGTAGTTTTATAAATGAATATAAGGAGTTGCTATTTGGAACAAAGAGGAATGTTGAACCCTGGAGTCTGACTGTTATTATCTCTATAACTCTACCTTTTTAGATTTATTTCCCTCACTGCATTTGAATAACTCATTAAGAATAATTATAACAGTATTATAGAATATATACAAAATATGGGCAGGGTATATGAGGGGCGGAGACAATTGCCGAAGGTTTGAGGGATGTGGAGAATCTGATGGAGGGTGCAGGGTTGGATTTCTGTATGCATGAGTCCTATAATTAACACATTTTTCCATATCAGTTTTTATTGAGGCGTCACTTAAAAAATAATGATATGGTGCTAATATTTTTCTTTTATACTTGCACTACAGGTCTGCCTTTTCTATTGTCATAATGCCAAGATCACCATTATCCTGATGTCCACACACCCAAGGTCCACACTCTCTCTCCATTAGCATTTCTTAGCTCTCAGTTCCTTTGACTCTGTCTCAAGTCTTGTTTCTATTCTCTTTTTGTGTTTATTTGTATTGCATTTCTTTCCTCATATCTGAGTAGTATGTCATTGTGTATATATACCAGAACTTCTTTGAAGACGTTTTTAAGTTAGCATCACACTTGATAATGACTTTGATATGTCACCTCTAAAAAACAAAACAAAGATCTCTCTTTCTTTCTCTCTGTCTCTGTCTCTGTCTCTGTCTCTGTCTCTCTCTCTCTCTATCTCTTTCATTCTCTCTCAGCAAAGTGTATAAGACATCTGCCTCTTCATAAACTTAAAACAGGCCCAATAAAGTACACAAAAATTAAGTCACTGTAGAATAAGGATTTTATCTGTTTGGGGGCCACATCCAGCAGTACTCATTAGGGCTTCAAGGACTGCTCCAGACATTGTGCTCAGGGATCACTCCTGGTGGTCCTTGGGGACCATATGCCATGTCTGGGATTTAAATGGGGTGGGCTTCATGAAAGACAAACACCTTAACCCCTATATTACATATCCAGAGCATGAAGATTATTTTTATTTGAATGAAATTAAAAAGCCCAAACAAATAGAGCTTCCTAGCTTTCTCCTATTTTACTAAAAGCGAGACATAAATTACACAGGTATAGGTGCCACTCCACACTTTCTCTACTAAGAAGGATGAAAGTTCATAATACAAAGATGAACTGAAGTCTTTTGGCATTGGAAGAATCTACATATTAAGGTCTACTAAATGCCCTTTACACTCACCTTGGAATTATAAAACTGCTTTTGTCCTATAATTTCTCCATAAATTCATTGTTCTTTAATGAAGATGATATAGAGATTAATATAATCTTGGTTCTGGGAGCTTTTTAGTTTCTCTTGGGTAACTTCCATCCATGCATTTGCATATATATACATATATATATTTTTTTCTCTTGTGAGTATTTAATTTACTATAGAGACTTCAAGAACTCAAAACATTTTAAGGGAAAATTCTTTTACCTCTCAAAGACTTGAAAGAAAACTAGACCGTATACCCATCACTGCCTTGTATAGCATGAAGTCTGGCAAAATCATTTTTCATTCTGTGTTCCCTGTTCATGGAAAGTCAGATGAATTGTACTTCACGAAGATAGAATGGACAGCTGGCAAATAAGTTGTAACTTATCAGCTGAAAGTTAGGTTTCTCTTGAGGGAAAGCTATTCTTAGATTAAAGTATATATTCAAAAGTCAAAACAGAGAAGAATAATAAATTGGATTACTGGGTTGGAGCGATAGCACAGCAGGTAGGGCGTTCGCCTTACAAGCAGCCAACATGGCCGACCCGAGTTCGATTCCTCCACCCCTCTCGGAGAGCCCGGCAAGCTACCGAGAGTATTCGATATGCCAGACACAGTAACAACAAAGTCTCCAATGGAGACGTTACTGGGCCCGCTCGAGCAAATCGACGATCAACGGGAGGGCCTTTACCTTTACCTTTTACTGAGAGCAGTGTGAAAGTGCTGGATTTTTCCAAAAAGAAGAGTGTACCACTCATTATAGGCAATGTCAAATACTAGGGTCAATGAATCGCATTTTTGTGTCTACAATATATTTGTTAATTATAATCAAATTCATCTGCTTGGTAGATGTCATCAATTACATTTTGCATAAATAAAAGCTGAAGCTAGAGAAGAAGCTAAAGAAAAGCACTGGAATCTACACTGGATTGTAAATAATAGACTATTTCCACTATGTCATGCTGCCTCCCAAAATACATTCCAAAACATCTATGTCTATCTTAGAGCCATTCTGAGGTAAGAGTGAAATTATGTACATTTTTTCTCAAACATATTTTGAAAATATATCCAGTAAGACCTGAATTAAGGCATAATGGAACACCTTGCTTAACACAGAAAACGACTACTACTAAGACATTTTAAACTTTCATGTGAATGTGTTTTCTTTCCAATAATCCGGATGTTGCTATTTTAGAATTTTTAGTCTGCTGATTATAAGAGGCATAATTCTAACTTAAAACTTTGAGGAAATGAGGGAGATGTCTACTGTAGGTTGCCAGTTCAATTATAAATCCACTTCATTTTGAACGTGCTGATATGTAGATGTATTTTGCTCTTAATCCCATAGCACAAAAATTATATCTTTATAAAAAAGCTTAAGGAATTTATTAACAACAAATAAAATATCTCACTATTTTCTCTTAAAATAACAACAAACTAAATAATTTGAAAATATCAGGCCTTGTATATATTTTAAATTATCTTAATAAACAATATTTCTGTTTAGGAAAGTATATTTTCTTTGTTCTGGGTTATGAAATGTAAAAATAAATAAGTAAATATATAATATTTATCAAATTTATATCAATTTCATTTGAAACATTTTTATATAACTTAAAGGAAAAATTTAGTGCTAGAGTATAAACAAGTTGGACACTGAAATGTAATTAAGAAAAATTGTCACTCATTATCTTGTGATAATATGCCATGGCATTTGCTGCCTTAATGAGTCTAAAGACCTTAGGGCCTTATTTTTATTTAATTTATATTAAAGCTATTATATCCATATTATTAAGTGGTTAGCATTCAACTTTAAATTTCAGAGCATGAACAAGTTAGATATGAGCGATCTTATTTCACAGAAAAGCCACAGAGCTTCCTCCCATTAATAGTCTAAATTGCTAGAGTAAAAGGAGGTTAAAACTACCAATTAACGATATCTCCTTCCTGGTATATATTGTGCTGTTACTGCAAAAGAAACACTTAGCTGCTTGGTGATTTGCAGGGGATTTGTACTTACACCCAGTCATGTCTTCCAGCCAGCTCTTTTCTCTCTTTCTAGAGCTCTCAAATTTCCACATTTCTGTTACTTACTCTTTCAAGGGTATTTTATGCAATCAAATCATTATTGTGATATGGCTAGTTCCCACAATCAAAGTGCAAAGCATCCATTTAGACAGAGATAAATGAGACATCTAATGACAAGCATGCACCTTCATGGTCATAGTATAACAAAGGCAAAATTAGTAGGGTTTTGAAATTAGTAGGGTTGTTCACCCTTCATTTAAGAAATAGAGTACATATGCCCCACTCTATAGCTCTTTCTGAGTTTCCCAATGGGCCTCGCTCAACAAGAAGCAAGTAGCAAGGTCAGGTCCTATCTCCCAGTTACTTCAACTCATCATTCATCTGCTCCTGCATGCATCCCGAGTTATGTTAGGACTGGAGTGAGAGTAGAGGTTAAGGTATTTGCCTTCCCCGTGGCTGACCTGAGTTTTATCCAGCATAGCTATGGTTCCCAAGCCCATCAGGAGTGACCCCTGAGCCCAGAGCCAGTAGTAAGCTTTGGGCACCACCGAGTGTGGGTCCAAAACAGAAAAAGACAAAAATTAGTTATGGTGTTAAAAACATTCCTCCATCAAAACAAACAAGTCATACACACAGAGATATCAATACAAGTTCAACAAATTCTGATTACAGTGAATTTTAATAACAAATATGTAGGCTTCTAATTAGCACATTTTATTATATACAACCTAAAGAGTACAAGTGAACTTATAAAAGTGAAGTTTATAAAGAAATAATAAGATCTACAGTTTGGTCTTAAAAATGCAAACAGAAAAATTTATGTGTTTTTAAGAGTGAAAAATCATGTTTAATTTTTTTCAATTTTAAAGTTGCACTGATAAACACTGTTTACTCAAATATACTACTGAAATAAATCAATATATTGTACTCAAGGGGTTGTCAATATACTTTGTACCTACAGAGATCAAACAGGCAATTCACAGAACTTAGGAATTATAAGCATTCAGCACATAGAACCAAAGTTTTGATAAAATTTTTGTGTGAGAAATTTTTATTTCTTAGGGCACATATATTTTAAAGTTGTGAATGCCCTGTGGACATTTTTAAAATTTTGAATTGAATTATAAATTTCAATTTTTACAATTTTTTTTGTAAACTAACTTATATTTATGACCTTTTCTTCTTTTTTTCTTTCCTCCCGTTGATCATTGATTTGCTCGAGCGGGCCCAGTAACGTCTCCATTGGAGACTTTGTTGTTACTGTGTTTGGCATATTGGATACATCACGGGGAGCTTGCCAGGCTCTGCCGTGCGGGCGAGATACTCTCGGTAGCTTGCCGGGCTCTCTGAGAGGGGCGGAGGAATCGAACTCAGGTTGGCCATGTTGGCTGCGTGCAAGGCAAATGCCCTACCGCTGTGCTATCGCTCCAGCCCCACTTGGATGTGAGGGCGATCTGGCTGCGACATCTGTCACCCCATTGATCGCCAGGGTTGATTCAGCTGATCTGGCTGGCTAGGCGGGTGTCCCCTACCTCCCTCACCGCTCCATGTGCGTCCCTCCCGAAGTTGCGCGCTTGGTCGAAGAGGACGGCCTTCCCCGATAGAGACGGACCGGTCTTCGGTTGAGAGTATACGAGTAGCTGCGCTCCCCTGCTAGAACCTCCAAACAAGAATAACTGAAATTTAAATTTAATCAATTGTAATATTGGATTTATATGTGAAAAACTTAAATAACATATCCGATATTATACCATTTTGTACATAAAGATGTTAAGACACTATAGTGATGAACCATTGACAAATCTGCAGAAGAAAAATCTTAGAAACAGAAATTTAATTACTATAATCCTAAAGGTAAAGGTAAAGGTAAAGGCCCTCCCGTTGATCGTCGATTTGCTCGAGCGGGCCCAGTAACGTCTCCATTGGAGACTTTGTTGTTACTGTGTCTGGCATACCGAATACTCTCGGCAGCTTGCCGGGCTCTCCGAGAGGGGCGGAGGAATCGAACTCGGGTCGGCCATAGTTGGCCGCTTGTAAGGCGATCGCCCTACCCGCTGTGCTATCGAAAAAACCAATTGGTGGGTATATTATCCTTTTCCAGAATAATTTGTATTTATATCCTGGAATAATTTATTAGCATCAATATACATAAATTGTTCAATAGTAAAATATCTGCTATCTATATTTCTTTTTTAATTTTGTTATAATTACTCTGAATATAATGTATAGACAAGAGATGTGATAAAATATATTCTGGTAGTAAATTCACAAATAATTCAAATGGTGAAATGTAGAGAAATCAGAATTCTAATTGGGTAGTCACTCATAACAAGTGGTGGAAAGTCACTATAAGTCAGAAAATTTCTGTTGCAGCAGAAGATGAACCAAAAATATAGGTCCCATATACGAAAGAAATACATAATTTGTTACCTTAAGCTTTTCATGAAAATCACTTAACACATCCTATGGACGCTGAGTAGTAATGAAACACAACACATTAGAATAAGCTAAGCTCATCATTGCTAACTTTATAGATGTTGGTTATTATCATAATACAAATATGCATTAGTTGTTGGTGACAAAATATAAAACTAAATCTTTTGCTGATCAGCATATTAAATTCATAAAGAGGACACTTACAGCTGATTTCAAGCCGAATGAAATCTTTAATGCCGAGGTTTTCTAGAAAAACTCCAGATAAAGCTGTCGTTTTAAAAAAGAAGGAAATATCAGCACTGAATTCAGCATGGAGAGTAGGAAAGTTGAGGTACGAGGCTTCTGTATAAAATGAGACTGCGTTCCAGAAGTGTCCTGCAAATGAGGAAAACATCTTTTAGACGCATTCGTTGTTTTATGATGAGGTACAGAAGGCAAAGCTGTGTGGATAGTTTTAAAGAATAGGGAAAACTGCATGGGGAGGAAGGTGGGGGGAAACTTGAGCTTATGTAATGCAGAGAGAACGCTTTAGATTTACTACTTACGGTCGCCATAGCAACGCAAGGGACCTATTCTCCAAGCAGCTTCTGAGTTTGTTCTGTTGGTATCAGTGATAACTATCTGAGTGACAGGCAAGTGGTCTTTGAAGGAGAGAAATCCAGTATCATTTGTCCTACAAAACACACATTTAAGGAAAAAAAAGAGGTGAAATATGAATAATATAGGGACTCTTTCTCAAGACTCATTTTGGTCTTTTCAAAAGTAATTTGGTGGTAGTAGTGGAGGGTTGGGGAGGGGAAAGCAGAATATCTTTCATCTTACGATTGTGTGTGAAATGCTAGAATGCCAGGTACTAAAACCGTAGATAGATTCTATTAACAAGGGCATTTTACTTTTCCCCTAAGTATTTTCAGAAACATACAGATAGTTTAAAGACCCGGCTGCTACTTGCAGCCGGGTCTTTAAGTAAGGGCACCCCAACTGCCCAATGCAGAACTGATGTAACTTTAAACATTTCCTTTCTTTCTATAAAGAGATCAGCTATCTCTGTAACTAACTTGAAATAGGCATCTCAATTCCCACTTGAAATCACTCCAAGGCCTTGTATCAGCCATCTGCCAACAGGTTTTAATCAGCTTAGAACACTTCTTACCACCTTTCGACTCCAGCTAAAGAATAAGTCTTTATAGTTACTATTTTGTTGCATCTCATTTTGTTTTTAATTTGAAAAATCCTGGTAGTTAAGTACTCCGACTTTGCATTTGTTAATTATGCAAATGATTAACTGACTAAGCATTCTTAGATGGAAAAGTACAAAATGAATAGTGCTAATTTTGTTTCTCCCCTTTTTAAATTGCGTTTTTGGACTCATGGCAAGGTTCATATCTTCTAACTGAGAGCAAAATCAATGTAGATTAAGAACTGGTGTTGAGTGAATGACTCTTTTGAAAAGAAATATACTCTGGTATCAGCATATTTTTTTCTCACACAAACTTCCTACCTAGCCAGTGCTATTCCCATTCACAGATAAAGGGATTAAGGACTCAGCATTGTTAAATAACTTTAAAGTCACATTCCAGGAGGACAGGGGAATGACCCATTGTTGATATCTATCCTATATCTAAATTTAAAAAATAGTGAATACATTTTAACTTTATATCAGTATGTAAATGCATAGTAAGAACAAAAAGGAATTTTATGCATTCAGTTTTTCCTCTGTAGAAAGAAGCATAAAACATATAACAACACTCCAAATCATGTTGCATTTCATATTCCTTTACATTTTATTTGCAAGTATAAATATAAATATAAAGTATAATATACCAATTTGAAAATTTGTATAGCATGGCAAAAACCAATTAGAAGGATGAGAGTTCTAAGAACATAATTTTTGAAGCATACATATTTGCTTTGTAATCCCCAGGACCCTAGCAGGCTTAGTTTGGGTAAATAATTTATATGTTAAGTTCCCCACTGTTCTCAGTTTTAAAATGAAGATAATGTCTATATCATAGAGTTATTGATGGGATTAAATAAGATTATATAGTCACTTAGCACAGTGCCTGATGAATGGTAAATGTTCAAAATTGGTAGTGGGGCACTCATTGTAATTCTTATGTTTATCCCTGAACCACTCTGCAGCCTCAGGGAAGTCAATTCATCTTCCCATGCAAGTAGCTTTAGTTCTTTCAGTATTGGAAATCTCACACTAAGGAACACACTGTGGAAAATTAAATGTTAATATTTATTACCCAACTCATGAGATTAGGAGAAAAATGTATCAATTCATCTTTGTTACAAATAAATGGTTTATTCACCTGCACACATACCCCAACAGGTCTATTAACCAAAAAAGTAAATAAAACTATATAATTTGAGCACATTTACTCAGTGGCTATTCAAAGGATCATAATACAATTTTTTTGTTTTCATTTGAAAGTGTAGGATAACAATTGATTTGTCCTTTTCTCCCTTGCCACAAGGAGCTTCGGTTTATCAGGTTGCACCCATCACAGTGCTCCCGAGTCACTCCCATTCCTTTGTTTGTAACCATTTCTCTAAGCTCTCTTCCCCAATCAGTTAATCAGCTTTTCCCCTAATCAGAATCTGTTAATTTGTAAGGTCAGATCCTTCTAGGACACTGAACTTGTATTGTAAGTCAATATTGCCTTTCTCCTCTCCTTATGTCTACTGAATAGTTTACTTTTCCTTTTTGTATAGATATCGGAAGACAATTAATATTATGCTTTGTAATTTAGGATTGATTTGGCTTTGAATATTATTCACTCCCAGGCATCTGCTTTCTCAACTTAAGCCTTAGTTGCCCTCACTTCCTAGCAAAAACAGGGTCCCAACGAGGGACTGGAAGCAACCAGGGCAAGTGGTAAATTATGTGCTACGCTGGCATCGAGATGGGCCAGACCAAAGTGCCACGATTCTTAACTATAAGTTAGGAGTTTGATCATAGGCAAATGCTGTCATGATCCAAAAGCAACAGTGAGACTAGGACCCTGCTAGGGATAAGAAAGACTATGTGGCCTGAACACTGTAGTCTGAGATCTAGATGGCCCTAGGAGAGCAAGTCTATAAGCTTAAAGTATTTCTTACTGTGTCCATAGAAAATGATTTATATTATGTATATGTTTGTTGGACAAGAAGAGGAGAAACACACCCAGGGGACTCCGTTCTACGGTGGGTTGATCTGCTAAATGAGTATCTGTCCTAGAAGTGGCTTTCCCATGTGCCTTGACTAGTTTAGATGAGGCTGAACATTTTTCCCTTTCAAACTGCCTTCAGTAAATAACTTCAGTATATTGTAAGAGGCAGTTTCCCTTTTCTTATTGAAACCTGACTGGTCTTTGACATGCAGTTCTCAGGTGCTAGCCAGGCCTGATCTTTGAGGTGTAGATTCCAAGCTCTAGAAGACTAGTCTTTGGGATGCAAATCCAAGTGCTTATAGTCCAAGAAAGGTTTCAGTTTTGGTTGTGTGTCTTCTTTCTGGAAGGAAAATTATTGGCCTGAAGATGTAAAGAAACAATGTATGTTTTGCTGCCTCAATGTTCTTTCTGTAACTTCTTTTGATGACATCACTGCATTGCACCCTTTAGAGGTACCGTGATCAATAAAGGGAGATTTTGAGATTTTGGGCCTCTCGAGGGGGAGAGGTATGAGAGAAACAGGTGGAAACACCATAGCATACATTTCTTTTTGGGATATAACAAGACTGTAAGAGTGGGCTGAGGGAGGCAGAAGAGACATAGGAGTGAATGGAGAGAGGATTGGAATAAACTGCAACTTAGACCACCCAGCCTGGCCCTCGTTTCCTTCCTTTGCCTGACCATCACCATCATCCTCCTTGGAGTGGGGGAAATGGCTTGAGACTACCAAACTCAGGCGTCAGGAGAGATAGACCTCTGCCGTCCTTTTTTGTGTTTACACAGAAAGCATATCTACAGATGTTACAGAGTAAAGCATTTCATATTATTTTTCAAGCAGGGATTTCAAAACAAATTCAGTAAAGATTAAAGACCAAAACAGATCCTTTGCTAAAGAAACTCCGGATTTCTCTATATTTTTCTTTATATCAATTTTTATTTTCATGGTGAAACTGTTAGATTCCGAAGTCTATCCATCATTGCTGACTACTAACTACCAAACATACCGTGACATCTTGTCTACATCAATTTGATGTCCTATGTCAAGTTGTTGCAGATGTAAAAAACACCCTCAGAAAGAAAATGTTCCAGATAAGAAAGTAAAAAGAGCTTTTCTTGTGAGTGAAATTTGATTAATCATATCACCAAAATATGTTTTTGGAAGAAATTTAAAAAAAATTAAATAAAAGGAGCTCTTCTCTAATGCCACTTAATACAAAAGACACACACAATCAAATTCCTTCTGGGGCTAAGGACCCAATAAAAATGAGTGGCTCCAACTTGTGTTCACTGATAAATGAAACCTGACATACAGTTTCACTATCAGGAAAGAAAGGAGAGAGAGGAGAAAGAGGACAGAACAAGGAAGCAATAGAAAGATCTGAGAAGATTTGGTAGAAAAGAGGTTTCTTTTCTAACAGGGAAAGTACCAGCTTTTAGTAAGAATCATGCTAATCATGAATGTAAGATCAATGGTTATTGCAATAGACAAAAATAACACTAAGAATCCTCAGATCTTGGCAATATATTTAAAACTCTTTATAAAAAAAATGGGGACAACCAACATTACACAGACCAAATAAACTTCTGAGAGTTCTGTTCAGTCTCTTAGCATCCCAGACCTATCAAGGTCCTTTTCATATTAATTTATGCTTTTCAGGTCACATTGAGAATAAATCTGTTTCTTATTCAATTTGTGATTGGCAGATATAATAAAACATCTCAAAACCTTAAAGAGTGAAACATTTGTTGGTGGGTGGTTGTGAATTTTAGCTAAAACAAACAAAAAGTAAAAAGATTCAAAATATCCTGGTACCTGTCGATTAGCAGGTAATTTACCTTGTTGAGTTGACTCTCTGAACATTAACTATTTTCTTTTGTTTGAGCTTTCTTCTTAATGGCAAACATTTTACAAGCATTCGCTTCCTTTGGAACAATATACTAGGAACTTCCTTGAAGTTCAGGCACATACTACATGAAGAAGAGCCAAGTATGTTTAAGAGGGAGAATAATGTCAGTAGGATGAGACTGATATAGGTTAAAATCTTGTGACTACACACACTGTTTGTATGAGACCAATGATGTCACTCTGGGCCTCAGGTTTTTTATTTTTCATATGGGGATAATCGCTGTCACTGTCACTGTCCTCCTATTGTTCATCGATTTTTCTAGAGCGGGCCCAGTAACATCTCCATTGGAGACTTTGTTGTTACTGTGTTTGGCATATCAAATACATCACAGGTAGCTTGCCAGGCTTTGCTGCACGGGCAAGATACTCTCGGTAGCTTGCCAGGCTCTCTGAGAAGGGCGGAGGAACCGAACTAGGGTCGGCCATGTTTGCTGCGTGTAAGGCAAACGCCCTACCAGCTGTGCTAATAATTAATAGTATAATGTAACAAATATGACATATAACACAGTGACTTAAATTGCTAAAAATTTAAAGTAAAAGCAGAAAATAAAAGTTGAACTAAAATACTACTTAAAATTAAAAGTCAATACCATATTTCTGGCATTGATT